ACTTGAGTGCGAGTCAGTCTTTTGTATCTTTGGATTTTAGTCAGCACATCAGTATTAGTTGAGAGGTGTTGAGTCGACCTTTGAGAGTTTCCATAGCTTACGAGATAGCGTTGTATGCCACCGAGGTGATCCGAGGTTGTGTACACGATATTTTCGACATTTTGTTTCTGATTGATCTAGTTCCTATTGCGATGGGAGATGTCTGTGTCATCGTGGGCATGGACTGGGTGAGCAAGTTTGGAGCGGTTATCGACTGTGAGAGACAACTGGTGACCATACGAGACCCTAGTGGGTGAGTTATTACAGTGTATAGCGAGGGTACGCATTCTGGTTCGGCATTTTGTTCAGTCGCTAAAGTGAGGCAGAGTCTAAAGTAGGGTTGTAAGGGATTTATACCATATGTGATGGATGCGAGAATTGATTCAGAGAGACCGAGGTCAGTAGATGAGGTTCCGATTGTGCGTAAGTTGCCGGATGTATTTCCGGAAGAGTTAACGGGTGTGCCTCCCGAGAGGCAGGTTGAGTTCAGCATTGATTTGGTTCCGGGGGCTGCGCCTGACACCAAGGCTTCTTATTGACTTGCGCCTCCAGAGATGTAGGAATTATCCTCGCAGCTTCAGGAGCTGCTATGGAAGGGGTTTATTCGGCCGAGCAGTTTGACATGGGGAGCTCCTATCCTTTTTGTTAAGAAATAGGATGGCTCACACTGGATGTACATTGATTACATGGAATTGAACAAGCTGACGGTCAAGAACCGTTACCCGTTGCCAAGGATCAACGATTTGTTCGATCAGTTGCTGGGAGCAACTTAGTTCTCCAAGATCTATTTGAGGTCGGGATATCATCAGGTGAGGGTGCGAGATGAGGACATCCAGAAGACAGCGTTCAGGACTTGTTACGGGTGTTACGAGTTTGTGGTGATGCCCTTCGGGCTCACCAATGCACCAGCGGTGTTCATGGATCTGATGAACAGAGTGTGTAGGCCGATGTTGGATCGCTTGGTGATCGTGTTCATTGATGACATATTGGTGCATTCGAGATCCAGAGAACAACATGAGGATCATTTGAGAGAGATCCTCGAAATTTTGAGATCGGAGAGGCTTTACGCCAAATTCTCCATGTGTGATTTCTGGTTACGAGAGGTCCAGTTCCTAGGGCATCTCGTTAACTAGAAAGGGATATTGGTTGATCCGGCCAAGATTGAGGCGGTGATGAGCTGGGAGGTACCGAAGTCTGCCTCCGAGATCAGTAGTTTTCTGGGGTTGGTCGGTTATTATCGGAGATTCATTCAAGATTTCTCCAAGATTGGAGTGCCACTCACTAGTTTGACCCGAAGGGTGTTGCTTTCTCATGGGGTCTAGAGCAGCAGACCTCAATTGAGACTCTTTGCCAGAAGTTGTGTGAAGCCCCGGTGCTATCCCCCCCAGAGGGAGTTGATGATTTTGTGGTTTATTGCGATGCATCTATATCCGGGCAAGGTGCAGTGCTCATGTAGAGGGGGCATGTAATAGTGTATGCATCGAGGCAGCTAAAGCCTCATGAGGTGAGGTATATCCCACTCACGATCTGGAGTTAGGGGCAGAAGTGTTCGCCCTCAAGATTTGGCATCACCATGTGTATGGGGTTCGGTATACCATATACACAGACCACAAGAGTTTGAAGTACTTGATGGATCAGTCCAACTTGAACATGCGTAAGAGGAGGTGGTTGGATGTGGTAAAGGATTATGATTGTGAGATCCTGTAGCACCCGGGCAAGGCTAATGTGGTAGCCGACGACCTGAGTCGTAGAGCAGAAAGTGCCCCAGTACGTGACATTTGTATGAGATTGACAGTGATGACTCCGGCGTTGGACACCATTCGAGGGGCCCATGCTGAGGCAATGAGACCGAAGATTCGTAAGAGAGAGAGGGTTATTGGGCAGGTGTCAAAGTTCGTTACTGATAGCCGAGGGCCTATGACTTTTCAAGGTCGGATTTGGGTACCGTTTGTCAGTGGTGCGCATACCATTTTCATGGAGGAGGCGCATAGATCGAGGTTCTCGATCCATCCTGGGGCCACTAAAATGTACTTTGACCTGAAGAGGGAGTATTGGTGGCCCTGTATGAAGAGGGATGTCGCGTCGTTCGTTGAGAGGTGCCTAACCTGTCATAGAGTTAAGGCCGAGCACCAGAGACCGCATGGTAAGTTGCAGCCATTAGAGGTTCCTAAGTGGAAGTGGGAACAGATTACTAAGGATTTTATCACCAAATTGCCGAGGACTGCAAGGAGCGTCGATGCAATTTGGGTGATTGTAGATAGGTTGACGAAGAGCGCTCACTTCCTTGCTATCAGTGAGAGCTCTTCCGCTGAGAGGTTGGCAGAGGTGTACGTGAGGGAGGTGGTATTGCAGCATGGAGTGCCAATCTCGATTGTCTCAGATCGATATGTGCGTTTTACTTCCAGATTCTGGAAAAAATTTCTTGAGGAATTGGGTACGAGGCTACATTTTAGTACCGTATACCACCCACAGACTGACGGGCAGAGTGAACGAATGATTCAGACACTCGAGGACATGCTCCGAGCATGTGTGTTGGATTTCGTCGGGAGTTGGGACACATATTTGCCATTGCTAGAGTTTTCCTACAACAACAACCATCATTTGAGCATTGGTATGCCACCCTTTAAGTTGTTGTATGGGAGGAGGTGTCGGACTCCTATCTACTGGGGAGAGGTAGGGCAACGTGTAATGGGTAGTATAGAGATTGTGCTTCAAATGACTGAGCAGATACAGCAGGTCAGGCGGAGTTACTGACCGCTCACAGTCGCTTGAAGAGTTATGCGGACACGCGACGGTCCAAGCTTGAATTTCAGGTCGGCAACTTTGTGCTCCTGAAGGTCTCTCCTTGGAAGGGAGTGATCCGATTCAGGAAGAGAGGCAAGTTGGGACCCCGATATACTGTTCCTTTCAAGGTGATCACGAGGGTAGGCAGGGTAGCCTACCGGTTGATGGTCGGAATTTGGATGTTTCTTTTGCGCAAACTCTCCAGATCAAGGGTCTTGAAGGGGCTTCATTGCGCAAAGGTGCCAACTTAATGGCCATGGAAGTCCCATGAAGCCTTTAGACCATCATTATGGTCTTCTAAACCCCATTAGGTCATGCATGCATGTAAATATGGGAGCTTTACGTGACTAAATTGTCCCTAGAGCCCAAATCTATGACCTCATGGTCTATCTTGATGTTGTGAAAAATTTTAGAGTTGGATCCAAGCCCTTTTTCGTTAAGATTTGAGTTTATGCCTTGGTAAGAGGTTCTTAATTGGTAAAGTTGGAAACTTTACCTTTCTAGATGTATTTCTAACTTGGATCTAGATGATAGGGCTGTGATTTGAAGATTAGAGACTTAATGCATTATGAAAGTTGAATGACAAAAGAACACTTCGAGTTCATAAGAGAACTCGACAAGTTGTCACTACTAGAAAACCAACCCTTTACGACGCGCAATGCGTGTCGTAAAATGCTCAGACGATACGCAAATGTGCATCAAGGAAGGCCCTATCATAAACAGAGATGACACGGTTTTGCGCGTCCTCTATAGATGACGCGCATTTATGACGCACATTGCGTATCATTAAAACGCCTGTCAAGAAAGGCCATGTCATAAATGAAGATGACACACATTTTTAGCGTATCCTAAATTTAAATGTTTAAAGTAATATATTTATAAATTTATTAATTTTTAAATTAAATTTGCATTTAATGTCTCATAATAGCAATAAAATACCATATACAAAAAATACAGTTCATTGCATAAAATTTAAAATACCATATACCAAACATTCAATTTCATCTAAATGTTAAACAAGTTATCAAAAAAATTATATGTACATTACATGTCAAAAGAGGATGCTACATAATATTTCACAAAGTTTACAAAAACATTCTACATCACATATCGAAAGACAAATGTCACCTAACATTTAACTATTCTATTGTTTGTGGATACAAAATATCACCGGTAATGAAGTCTGTAAAAAAAATCCGATCATTCTTCACGGATTTCATCAATATCATCACATGTGTATTGAACTTTGTCACCCCAACCTAAGAAAAAACAGCATATAATGTTTCAGTTATCAAAAAAATGATCATTTCTTTAACAGTGAGTAGTATGCTATATTCATTAAATAAACATAAAATATAAATTCACCTTTCTTATTATGCGTTTTATTGTCTCTTTATGTCTTCAATATCATCAACTGCAAGATTCAAATTTATAGTTTACCAATATTAAATAAGAAGAAATATTTTAACTTACTCATATGAATTTGATTCCATCAAACCACTTGTCTTCCTAATATATTCATCCTCTTGAAGCATCTCATCTTTCTCAAAACACTCTTATAGCCATTGACAACCAACCATATGTACACTTTCATCCCTTAAAAGACGTCTCTCTGATGCTGAGAAGTTGACCCGGTCTCTAAGGAAAAGATTAAAGCACAGTCATATGAGTCCTCAAATACAGTAAGTTTTGGTGAGAAATAGCAACGTACTTTCATTTGTATGCTTATTATAGCATCCTATTCAAATTTCTTTCAATTACTAATCATTCTTTTTTCAAGTTTTTATTAAGGCATTGTACTCAATTTCTTTCTACATGTCATTCCTATAGTCATGTAGATTTCTCAATGTACAATGTTGTAATAGGAAGTATCTTGTGAAGTCGTAATAAGCAATTAATATGACAAGGCAATGGGTATCATCCTCATCAGTATATTATGTTTAAATATAAGTAGAATGCTTATTTTTAGAAACTTTATGTATGATTAAGTTCATGATTAATGATTCATAAAGCTAATATATGTTGTCTCGATTTGGTTAACAAATTGACATATATGGTCCAAGTCACAGAAACTTTATGTATGACTGTTTGCATCTATATATATAAAGAGAATAATTATTAATTAACAATACAGTCAACACGAAGTATGTGATAACCTTCACGGATCTAGAATCCCCTTATGAAACCGAACTAGCAATCAACACCTAAAACAAAACAAAAAAATGGTTAAGTCAACTATCTGACAAATAGTCAAACATTTTCCTTAAACTATTTGTTAAGTCAACATTTGGTCAATTTATACCTTACCAGATGCTGCCAATGCATCTGTAATAAGAGACACAGCCAACCAAACTTGCAAACATATTTCATGAGTAGCCATGACTATAGGACCTTGCTTAGCAACCATTGATTTTGCTAAGGTTGTTGTTGTAAGTACTGCAAAATAAATAAATAATGCAAATTCAAAATTGAAAAATAATAAAACAAATAAGTTACTCACCAGATTTCTTATAGCAACATTAGAATCAGTAGTGTAATTTAGATATTGATGAGCGTAACCCGGATGTCTTCCTTGACTCCGTGAACTTTTCTGGGCATTGTAATTTGCAGTTGGGTAACCACCAGATGTCTGATAATCACCAGGATTGTAATAAGTTTTTGAATAAATTGCAGGCCCAGGATAGGACCCTGTATTCTGAAATGAGGAAATAGGTTGATGAGGAGGACCTGTACTTTGATAGGGTCCTGCTGGGTGAACATATGTTTGACTAGGCTAAACATACACTTGACTTGACAGATTTGGCTGTTGTTGAGGGTATGATTCATTTGGTTGCTGCTGCTGATAGCTACTACTATAGTAACCTCCATATCATGCTGCTAAAACAGTGCCAATATTTGCCACACTAGATCCATCTAGATGGTTTCTTGATTGAGGTTCTAAACATTGATCATGGATGAAGTTGGAACAAGGACAAGTTGTGTTCCTTGACAATTCCCATGTGTAAGTTAGTAAATAAATATCTGTTAGCTCAATCCACCAACCATAATTTTGAAAAATTACACAAACTAGTCGGGAAGATCTGGTCAGGTGTATAACCTGTATGAGTATTATACAAACATTCTCCTCAAATTGACCAAACCCAAGCAATAAATAAAGACCATTAGCAATATCATAAACCATAAACCCAATCCTTCCACCAATCAAACTTCAATATTTACTTCCAACCAAATACCCAAATCGCTCATACCTTTCTTCCCCTAAATACCCAACAATATAAGTCCCAAACAATGTTCCTGTACCCCTAAGAAACCCTTCAGTCATAATTCCTCCACAATAAATGGCTTCAAAGAAATCCCACCCGGAAGAAATAACCATGCCAATGATCCGTTTAGCTTTCCGAGTTGCCATTTTTGCAGCTTTGGCTCCATCTTTTTGTGCTTGTTTTGTAGCAGCTTTGGCTTCCATTGTCAGACCCCCAAAACCGGAACGGCGTAAACGTTCGAGGGTGGATGACGTCATGTCAAGTATCACGAGATATGTATATGGTAAGAAATTAATGAACAACCATTTCATTTAGAAAGAAAGTGTTTACAATGTGTGTGTTCACAAAACATAGAAGTCATAAACAAATAACAAAACAAGACTTGAAGCTGATATGCTCCATCTTCTAAATTCCCAGCACGAGCACCTGTCTAATAGTCTCCTGAGAATACAAGTTATTTGAAAGAGTTGATCAGCAATTAAGCTAGTGAGTTCATAAGATTTTAGTGATATGAGTAAGCTGTAAAATGTGGAAAAATGTATATGTAAAAGTGATGTAAGATGTAAGTTCTATTTTTGAAAAGTTTCCATGTTCCTCTAGAAAATCCTATATTTCCTACTTTAGTGGAAGTTAAGTAAAATGGCACTACAAGACTTTCTATGCGTACTAAGTGGGTACAAGTTATATATACTTGGAGTAAATAAACAATCGATTGTGCGCATCCGCCCTCAACTCACAACCCAACGGGGTATAGTAAGTAAGGCAGATCACACACATTCCATTGGTTGTTAGATCGTTGTCATATATAACCTTGGTAAATTCACTTGTTACTCATGGAGTTATTTGTAATGATTACTTTATATCTAATGGAGAGTTATTTTAAGAAAACATATATTTTTTATAGTAAAACCTTGACTACGATGATTACTTTTATAATAGCTTTATTTATACTGCTATATATAATTTGATATCGGATAGATAGTTAATTGGGGGAATCTTCCCTAAGCCCACATCCAACAGGAATAGGACGTCGGGGGAAGACACACATTTAACTATCTATTGGATATTAGTCTTATATATAAACATGGTTTATAAACTAAGGTTTTATAGAGTTAACTCACTTAAAGTCTTTAAAACTGTACTGGCATAATAAAATGGATTAAGCCCTTAATTGGGAAATTGCTAGTTTTGTATACCAAAAGTACTGACTTTGAAAAGTAAGTTTTGTACTAGAATAATTGTGCGTTGACTCTGTGTCCTATGACCTGATCCATACCTAGTACCCTTATGATGACTTAATGTATACTAAGTATAAATATATATAGATTCGGGTAGATAATAGATTGGGTGACCTCGGTGCAAGCCCACATACAACGGGATCAGGACATACAACGAAGAGCACACATCATATTAGCTGTCGGGATCTACTTAGCATGTATGTATCCTATAGTGTATACATTAAGGAATCATAACGTTAGCATTATGGTCCTAAACTTTTAAAAGTAGCCTTCTACCAAGGCGTAACTTTTTTGAATGTTCTTTTATTGTAAAAGTGTGTAATTTTCCCTTCGTAACTATCATTGTCAAAATATAGTTTGTACATTAATGTTTAAGTGAAATGATCACTATAAATATGTAAAGGGGTAAATTAATGTAGTACCGTAGTGTTGTAATATAGGAACTACTGTTGTACTAACGACCTTAAACCGAATTTATATTAAGGTATTTGTGATAAATTGTACCATACTATCGACTAGGTAACACGACAATGCAGGTCGTAATAAGGTATGATGTTTGGCACCCGCAGACTTGTAAGTCTGGCTGTAGCTAGCAGCAAGGTGCAGGATAGTCAATCCAGTATAGATCTATATGCAAACTCACACTCTCCCTCGAAGAGACTCTAGCTACAACTCGATCCATGACATTGAAGGCATGCTCGGATACAGTGGATTACAATTTTGTTAACGTATTCATGTATAGGTAATGTATTGTTACTCGTTCTAGTACGTTGTATTGTTATTGTACTTATGTAAAAGTATTCCATGTAAGTGTATCTATGTAAACGTATACCATTAGTATAGACTCGTGAACTGAACTGACTCTTTGTGTGCTTCATTGTACTAGAAGTAATGAATAGCATTCTCCTAAACTATACCTATAATAGTTTACTAATGTTCTACCTGGAGTATTACTGAAAAGACTCATTTATCTACCAAGTTATGCTTATACTTTAAAAACTGAGTTTTGTATAACTATAAAGTAACATAACCTTTTAAAAGTGTTTTGGAATGTATTGAAAACTTATAAATAACATAAGTGACATTTTGAAAGATGTTTATAACAAACATTTACACAATTATCATTGTGTTCAACTTGTATTCCCCCCCCCCCCCTTAAAACAGTTAAAATAGATAAAAGATTCATTACGGGTATGCGTGTAAGGATGAGAAGTTCCATGATGAAGTCCCGAGACACAATAAGTCCTAAATGGCATATAAGGACACATATTGACATGAAATAGTGTTTATAACAACTATATGAAAGGAAACACCTTAACCAAGTGTTGGAATCACATGTGATTCAACATAGGAAGGTATAAATGCACTCACATGGGTTTACTACCATGAGTTCATGGCCCAACGGAGTTTATGGCCATAAACTCATGGTTACTCATGGGTTAGTGCAAGTCTGAAGGCTAGGAGGTGATTTAGGGACATTAGCTCTATCATAGGATGAGAAATACCACCTTCTATGGAGTTTTTGAGGAGATCACGACCCAAGTGAGTTTACTATTGTAAACGCATGGTCATTAATGTTAATGAGGGTCCTAAAGGTCATAAAGAAGCATCCTAAATTCAAGCCTATGCCTTAGGAAGTGTTTGTGGCATCAAAACACCCCTCACTTGAGTTTTCGGCCCTTGGACCTTTTTGGCTTGTGTTTGCAGCTGTAATCACCTATGGGTGATGGTATTTTGATTTCTTTAAGTCCAAAACACATCATGGTAAAGTGCTAGGCTAGTCTCTTGGCTTTAGGAAGGCATTTAGGGAACTTTGGCACCATAAAATGGAGTTCACAGCCCAAGAGCATCCTTGGCGGTGAAGTCACTTTTAGCCCTTGAATCTTAATGTTTTTGAGGCCAAGACATGTCAAAGGTTGTTCCATGTTTGGTTTCCAAGGTTTAGGGTGTAACAACCTGAAAATTCGTATCATTGCTTGTAACCGTTTTCGTAACTCATTTTGATAATCCAATCGCCGTTTCAAATTGCTTTTCCGATTTCTTTATTTAATTAAGTCATTAATTTGTAATTGATATTATGACTTAATGGGTGTCCTAATACTTTTAGAACTTTTTCTAACACCCCATATTAATAATCGGAAATATTTTAGGAACGACCATATCGGGTTACGGTAACTCAATCGGGTGCGACCAAAAGCACCGTATAACGCCGGTATCGGGTAGAATTCCACCGTATCCAAATCTTAGACACTATTTAAAGATGTTTAAGCTTCCATTTGAAGCTTTTGCTCTCTCTCACTACTCTCTCTCTAACCTTTCTCCTCAACCAAAGATTCAAGGTCCAAAACATTGATTTAAGGCTCCAAATCTTTGAGGTAACATCCCTAACTTGTTGTATAACCTCTTAGGCCTTCAAATTCGTGTTTAATCTATCATTTTGGACCTGGAACATGTGTTTACGGCCAAGGAGCATGATTGTGCCGTAAACACTTAATAAATGGGTTTTTGAGCAATTTAACCCCTCCAAACCAACATTGGGAGTTAGATACGGCTATATGGCTTACCAATTCGGACTTAGAACACATTAAACATGGTTTTTGAGGAGTAAACATGAGTTTACTGCCCAAGAAAAAACTTGGGCCACAAACACCTCATACATGGGGAGTAAACTCATTTAAACATGTTAAAAAGCCATATAACTCCACCAATAGCCTTGGAATAAATCCTAGAGTCATCTAAAAATAGTTTGGGGACCTTAAACATGTCAAACACCCTCCAAATGAGATTTTACGGACATGACACCCCAACGAAAAGCTCCAGGGCCATAAACTCCTCTTTATGTGTCAAATGATGCCCAAAACTCATACCAAGGCTTGGAAAAATAGTTGGAATCACATGTGATTGTCCTAGCCTCACAATATAAATTATAGTTTGACCTTGGGGGAGTTTACGGCCGTAAACCCCATGTTTACTGCCGTGAACTCCCATAAATGATATTCATGCAAGTGGAATCCATCCCAAGGCTTTAGAAAAATCCATTCCAACATTTACCATGTGCATTTAAGCCATTTAGCACCCCAAAACACCCAATCGTGAGTTCACGGTCGTGAACTCATGTATGTATGGGCTATGTGGCCAAAAACTCCCTAAGGAGTTTACTCTTGAAGAGTGAACTCACATCCCAAGTCCCACGTATCATTACACGTCTGTAGATGTCACCCGGGTCAATCCAAACAGTTTTTTTGAAGTGTTTTCGCTCATTGGAGTGTATTATCATATCTAATTAGTGGTTTAAAGTCTAATTAGATACCTTTGGATACCATTTCATATTACATAAGAACCTCGCGTGTTAACAAGCCCCGAACCAATGTTTAGTGTCCGAAACAATTGCGCCTTCTCGTCTGGTGCGTTCATACCCCTACCCTTTTTCACTGTTTTTCAATGTTTTCAAGGGGGAATACAAGAAAAGTACAAGGGATTACGTGTACTCAAAACTTGTTTTACATGTTTGTGTTTCATAATTCATATGCTTTTGAAATTGATAATCATAACAGATAACCGTTTGAAACTTGCAGGATAATCATATACATTATTTGTAAAATTAGTCATAAGTTGTTATGTTTATTATTTCACAAATAGTTTTCCACATTTTTATTAGTTAAAAGCATGACATTTAAACCTTTACATAAGATTTTGTACACTATTTTGTCCTCGGTAACACTCCACAGAGATACGCGAGTGGAGGATTATTGTATTATTACTAGTAAATTTGTTAGTCATATATAATTGGAGACACGTCCTCGGTGAACACTCCACAGAGATATGCGAGTGGAGGATCGCAACCGTAACTAGAATCTCTTAGATAGGGAGCGTGACTTGAGTGTATAGATCTATACGGGGTTGACTACCCCACACCTGACTGCTAGCTACAGCCGAACCGAAATGGTTCAAGGGTGACGAAATTC